GCAAGTATGAATATTATATACCTTAAAACCCTCGCATTGAATATTCTTAAAAACAGTTCTTCTGAAACTATTGCAAGTGGAGTTGAAGTTTCTAAACTAAATTCGTGTTTTATATGCAATGAAGAAATTTTTTTGTACATACTTAAAAAGTCATTCACTATATTAACATGTGGCCATACTGTGCACTGTCTTTATCTTAAGAACCTTAGAGAAACTATATTTATATTTCCTATCAATAATTATAGTGCGGAAATTGAAATCATTGAAAAGTCATCACTAATATGGGCTCTATCACAAAAAAGTATGAGCATAGATGAAGGATCACAAAATTTGTTAATATTTGATAAAAATTCTTTAGTAAATCTAGATACAATCAGAGAAGAGAACTCTAAAAATAATTCACAAAACAAAGAACCTGGCATACCTGACTTCACTACAAGTAATTTACCATTTAAATGTATTGGTAAAGCTACTTCTGTTAAATCGTCAAATAAAAAAAAATCTATAAATAAAGAAGATTCCCCTGTATTGAAAAGACTTATTCAAGAACTGTTAACTAATGATTCTAGAAAAACAGTAACTTTGCAATCTGAATCTACTTCTAAAACAAATACTGACTTAGTTAATTTTCTTGATCTATATAATAAAATTATAACTTCTGAAGATATTATTAAAAAAACAGCACAAGATCTTCTTGGTGTTATTATAATTTTGGAGAAGCTTTATCAAAACAATATAATTATTATAAAGATTTAAACTATGGAGATTTGGCATCTCAGTTTCTAGTTGCTGATAATATTTGGAAACAGCTTTTCAAAGATATTCACAAAAAGCTCTTCAAAAAAGAACTGAAAAAGCTCGAAAGATTTATGGCCTTTTTAGTAGTATCAATAAGAATAAAAATAAAAGTAGAGAAATAATAGAAAGAGTTAGAACCTTTCCAGTATCAACTATTTCAAACATATCTTAGGATGATATAAAGTATATAATCGCTAAAATGCTACGTATCTCAAGATGAAATTTACTATGCTACATTACTGCACCTGTGATATGTATGTTATACTCATTAGTATATTTTTATATTGTATTTGTTATTCATGAAAAATACTGAAA